TGCGTCGGTGTGTGCCTGGGATCCAAATCTGCGAACCCCAGTCCGCCGAAGCGGAGCATGCACACTTAACCACTGCACCACAAGGCCAGCCACCCTTTTGCCTCTTGGTATATGAAAAGGAAGGGAATGCCCTTGGGGTACTTATCCCAAAACACAGGGACCACCATCAACCCATAGGGCATTATAGCCAGCAACTGGACCTTCTGGCATGAGGATACCCCCTCTTGCCTTAGAGCCATTACTGCTACACCACTTTTGGTGAAGGCCACCAAGAAAATCATTGTGGGATCCCCTTTAACCATCTTTGTATCTCATGCAGTAGAAGCCCTCCTGAGTTCTCCTCACATATTTCAGCCAGCCACCCCATCTCCTATGAAATCCTTTGGTTAACTGCTCCTCAACTCTTTTACATTGTAATAACCTTAACCCTGCTACTCTTCTCTTCTCTATTCCTGACAAAGTCCTTCACGACTGCTTAACACTGACTCCTTGTGATGAGCTGCAGAAAACTCCCGTGGGTAATGGCAACTTCTCGTGGTTTACTGATGGTTCTTATTTAAAGGGTGATGATGGCAAATACTGTGCTGGGTATGCTATTAGCCACTCCTTTTGATATTGCTGAGGCAGCACCTTTACCTATGGCTACTTTGGCCCAAAAGGCTGAATTATAAGCTCTTACATGGGCTTGTACTTCAGCCAGGGGCAAAACTGTCAATATTTACACTGATAGTAGATATGCTTTTGGAGTAAGTAGCTCATGATTTTGGAATGTTGTGGAAGCAACATAGCTTCCTCACTTCCAGCGGAAATAAAATTAAAAATGGCCCCTGTGTTCTGGAATTATTAGATGCTATACTTTTACCTGCTGCTTTAGCTGTTATTAAGATCTCGGGGCATTCTAAACTTTACTCTCTGGAAGCTAAAGGAAATCACCTTGCTGACATTTCTGCAAGAAATGCAGCCATTTAAAGGAACCAACAGCAGCCAAGCTTCTGTTATCATCCAAAGGGATATTTCCCCAAATTATAAGTTAGAAAAACTAGCTAGATAAGCCAAACAATTGGCATCAGAAAAGGGAAAACAAGATCAGAAATTCAACAATTGCTGGTTTGGTAAAAAGAGGTCTGGCTCGGACCAAATAACAACCTGGTCCTACCAGAGACTCTATAATTCTCACTCCTAACCACTGTACATGCATTAAACCATTGGTCTACTGACAAAATGATTCAATACTGATGAATCAATATGGGTGGGGAAATGTTAACAAAGCTGCAAAAGTGCCTATTTTGTTTGTCCCACTTGTCCCAAATACAATCCAGAGGAGCCTGTTTGTACTGCTCTTGGACATTTTTAACTGCCTAATGGACCATTCAAGCTTTGGCAAATGGATTTCATACAACTTCCCCCATCTCATGGATATAAATATGTTTTAGTCATGGTCTGTATGTTTTCTCCCTGGACTGAAGCCTTTCCTTGCCGACAGGCTACTGCCTCTTCTGTGGCTAAAGTCCTTTTGGAAAAGATTATCACTACCTGGGGAACTCCTCTCAAGCTTCATAGTGACCGAGGAACCCATTCGACTGGTCAGGTACTTTGACATGTCTGCACTGTTTGGTCGGTTTTACAACACTTTCACTGTGCTTACCACCCTCAATCTTCTGGTTTAGCTGATTGCACTAATGGCATTATTAAAACTCAACTGGGGGCCGGCCCCGTGGCATAGCAGTTAGGTGCGCACGCTCCACTGCTGGCGGCCCAGGTTCGGATCCCAGGCACACACCGATACACCACTTATCAGGCCATGCTGTGAGGGCGTCCCATACAAAGTGAAGGAAAATGGGCACAGATGTTTGCCCAGGGCCAGTCTTCCTCAGCAAAAAGAGGAAGATTGGCATGGATGTTAGCTCAGGGCTGATCTTCCTCACCAAAAAAAAAAGACAATTGGTGAAATTTGTAGAGACCCTCCAGACACCTCCAGACACCTCTGCCAAAAGCATTGCTGTTGGTCCATCTAAATTTCAGATCCACTCCCTTTACAACTCATAAACTCTCACCCTTTGAAATAGTCACAAGACACCCAATGCACTTAGTTCCTGCCTCTTTTGACCCACAGCTGTTAAAGGAGATATACTCCAATATTGCAAAGGCCTAATTGCTTCTATTAAAAATAACCATGTTTTGGTAGAGCAATCTTTTTGTAGTGTTCTCCAGGGAGACAAAGACCTTAAGCATCACCCTTACAACCTGGAGATTTCATCTATTGGAAAAGACACCACCAGAAGGACTCTCTTCAACCTGGAAAGGCCCCTATCAGGTACTGGTAACTAACCCTAGTGCCACAAAACTCCAGGGAATAGACTCTTGGATTCATGTGACACACCTAAAGAAAGCACCAAACCCTGACTGGACCTGCACATCATCTGGTGACCTGAAAGTAAAGATTTCCTGGATTGAAGCAGACAACATCTGATGAGACAGTTTTCCCAAGATATCTAGACCAGGTCTGTTGGAAGTTTGTCTGCCAAATCTTTGATGATGACTTAATGCTTTAGATGATCTCCGATGCCTATGATCTTGATAACACACGGACTTTAGAAAAAAGCCTGAGAGTTCTCCCTTCTACCTCTCATTACTCAAGTGCGGCCTCAATAGGTTTCTAATCTGTGCACTTTCCCTGCGATACGATACCGAGGAAAAGTCGTTCCTGGCATCGAGGGACAAAAAGCTGCTGAAACCAGAAAAAGCTGACTCTTGATCAGCGATGCTTTCAGAGAAAGATCTTGATCAAAAGGGGAGAATGTCAAATTAATAAACAGCAGCCGCTACACATTGAACTCTCCCTTCCTCCAATGGACTCTTCATTTACAACAGCCCTCCCAACTTCCTCTTCCCTCTATAGTTTCTCCTCCCTTGCTGCTGGGAGACTTGCACGTGGCTCACTATGGTTGCAGTCCCTGAATTGCAATTCTTTGCTGATCCCAAATAAACCCATTTGTGCTGGAGAAACAACCGGCTATCTCTTTGTTTAAGGTCAACATTATACAAATCTTAGCTTCACATCTCCCATAGAACTTTGGAATGTCTATCAATGGACACGTGACAATATGCCAAGAACAGTGTAGAAGGCTTTCACAACACAATACAGAGCTCAGTTACAAATATACATCCTAGTATTTGTAAACTGATAACTCTCTTATGAAGGAAGAAATTAAAGCAAAAAAGAAAAAGTGCAATGGACGCCAAATCAACAAGCAAAAAAAAAAAAAAAAAAGTATGATACTATGAATGAAGACTTTAAAGACAAATGCTTAGGTACAACCCACAAAATAAAATCAGTTATTTGTGTGGTATTGCCATGAATCTACACACATTTTAAGTGTATTCATATATTTTATATTTCACAGTAAAGTTGTCTTAATTTTGTTATTCCTTTTTCATTATTTCCTTTTTAATGTCCTTCTTCTATTTTTCATCATTTTACCTTTTACAGCAAAATTGTCTTACAGCCAATTAACTACGCAGCAAAAATGTTTGCAGTGACAATGCTTGCAGCAAAGATGTCTACAGTAAAGCTGCTTATGGCGAAAGTACCTAGAACCCTTAACACTTTTCAAGTAGATTTCCAACTCCAGGTTTTTTGTTGGTAAAATGTTTCACCAATTTGAGGACTGCATTGTTTATAAACTGTTCCTTCATTTAAGAATAAACTAGAGGGTCTAAAATTGATTGGCATAGTTAGTGATTATGGCCACTACATATTGAGTTCTTCTGCAAATACCTTAAACTTCGTGGTAAAACCCAACCTTAATTAAACACAATCATCCACCTTCTCTGTGCTTGAACCTGGGCAGCTAAACCCTTCTAGTAAGACTGGTACACAAAAAAGCAGAAGGTACCACTGTAAATTCATGGTCAATAACCTCATCTGAGCCCTCAATGCTGCAGCAGGCTTTTGTGTTTCTCTGGTTAGTTAGTCTCTCACTCTGAAAGGGTATTTCAAACCTTCCTCTCTCTCAGACAACTACATGCCCTCTTCACTTATATTTCTTTCAAGAACCGACTTTCCCTATTGTTATTTAAGGAAATGGAAGTCTTCAGAAGAGAGCTTGCAATTTTCTATCAACAGAGCTGACCCCATGCCCATCCTTTCCTCTTTTCTTCCTGCTACAAAGGAGGAAGGACCTCTCCTGTCGGGGTGGCAAGGTCTATCTTTCCAGGTGCTTGGGCACCCACACCCTCACACGTACCCAAAGATCATACACAGTTAATCACCCTCTCCATATCTACAATCTTTCCCTCTTTACTAAATCCTTTCTCTAGGTACTAAAATATGCTCCAGCATTCTCATCCTAATAATAATAACAAAAAATTAACCATCTCCAAATATCTCACTTGACCCCCAAATATTTCCCCCCCTGGCCTCCCCCGTCCTCTCCTTGCCCCCCAGTTACCATCCTTTCTCTCAAGTACCATTCAGAGCCAAACTGAGGAAAGAGTTGCCTGTCATCAGTATCTTTACTTGCTCATTTCCATTTCCTCTACTCACTCTGGCCTGGCACCACAGCCACACCAGTCCATCAAGGGTTCTTATGAAATAAACTACATATCATTATGTCCAATAAGCACTCTTTGACCTTCATCTTATCTTGCTTCTAAGCAGCACTTGGCCTGACTGCCTCCTACTTGAAATCCTCTTTCTCTTGGCTTCTGTGACAACACTTACCTGATTTGCTTTCTCTTTTCTGGCTGTCCATTCTCAGTTGTCTTTGTAAGCTCTTCCTTTCCTATTCCACCTTTAAATCTTGTAACTTTCCTCAGAACTCTATCCTAGGACCTCTTCTTGTCTTACTCTCTACCGTCTCTCCCTCAGTGACCTCATCCACTCCCATGGATTCTGACACCACCTATATGAAAATTACTCCATATTTATGTTTAGCCTAGACCCATTTCAGATGAGTAAACTGATAGCATCTAATACCAAACCATGACGACAAGCTTACCTGTATATGTGCAACTGTTTTCCCAAAAGCTTTTCTTTGTTTAACATAGTTCCTCGTTTCTTCAAACATGAATTCACTGGCTGAAATTCCCAACTCAGCAATCAATAGCCTTTCCTATAACCCAAAAATTAGGTCTTGAATATTATTCTAATTATGATAGTGATTTTCACTTGATTTCAATAATAATAAATTATACAAATCATCTTTATAAAACCACAGATTAATTTATTTCTTAACTCTTTATAAGAAAAGGCTTTCATTGAGGTCTATAAGAATATTTTAACATATCTGTAATAACTCTCTAAAGCAAATCGTTTTTTATGAATGAGTGTTTTTACTATTTATAGATATATGTGTAATTTCTTTCTTTCTTTCTTCTCTTTACACATCCAGGAAAAAAGAAATTCTGAAGTTATTGATCTCTGCACATCACATTTCCTAATATATCTCTGGAAATCAACATCTTAAACTACACAGGTTAAATTCTGCCTGTTAGTGCAAAAGTATCCATAGTGAGTTTAATTCCATCTTGCTGGTGATCTTCATATTCTATGTCCATGCCAGCGTTCCTAGCCCTTGTCCCCAGTTTCCTGTTTAGCCTGTGCTGTGGAGTCACTGGGCAGGTGCACCCCCTTATGTGGGCACGTAAGGCTCAGTGATCACTCAGCAACCACACCAAAGACACAGATGTGAGGGCTAACCCTATATGGCCAAAATTTTTCAGTCTGAACTTAACAGCTTTCCCCTTTGATCCCGAAGCATAGTTGAAAAAAAACCTGCCAAATGTTTTGGCTGATATTTCCTTACAAAGAGCTATGAATCCTTGACTTATAGTTAAGAAGCTAAATCATTCCAAGAAAGAATCACAGAACTGAAATATCTATTTTCCCTACTCACTTATAAGCTTTGATTGGATATCCCTGAGTTCAGTTATTTACTTATCTAGCCTACAAAACTCATATTATTTTTAAGACCTTAAGTTATACTCAAATGACTGGCTATATCACACGTTTTGTATGCATGGATTTATATAGTTCTGTATTATTCTATTGCAAGTCCATTATCTAATCAAAAGATAAAATCTTTAATACTTCTGACCTGTGGAAGCTCCTGCATGAGGTAATAGAAGCCTTTATTCTCTTCTCCAAGTAGAGCACTAGCTGGCAACCGTACATCTTCAAAGAATAATTCTGCAGTATCCTAAGAGATCATATGATTAAGTACAGAATTACCTCATTTAAATCTCCCAGTAACCCAAGGAGGTAATTATTTCCATTTAAGGAAAAAAAAAAACAAAATAAAAACAAAAACCAAACAAACTGGGAGCCAAGTCGGAGTGGTTAATGAACACAATTAGGAAGTGGTAAACTAGGGATTCAAACCTAGGGCCATCTGATTCCAAAACTTGTGGCTTTCCCACTGCAATACACTGCCATTCTAGTTCCAATATTGTCCAGTTCTGTAGGTACTGAGGACTAAGAATTTCTAATGCATATTAAGTAAAACATGTTTTTCCTTTTGGTAATAAAAAAATAATAATTACCAAATAATAGAAAAAATATTTTGTTTTTATTTCATAATTTTCTTTAATCAATTTCATAAATAGAAGGCCTATCATCATGCAGTTAATTTTGCCATTTCTAAAGTAGATATTCAAAATTCACTTCCCTTGCTGACCACCAGAGACACAGTTGCATAAATGCTGGATTAAATCTCCATTATCATTTCTGAAAAACACATTTTAGGAATTCAGCATAGGAAAGTATGACACTACTATATGTAGTTCTATATATAAGGCATAATCATGAAAACTCAATTATCTATAAATAATAATTTATATTATAAATTATTACCTGAGTTTATATTATTTATAAATTATTACCTCATTACCTGAATATGATTTATGACTTACCTGGGCTTTTAGTCCCATTTTATGTAGCTTTCGTCCCTTGATAAATCCTTTCATTCCATTTTCCACCAGAAAAAGGCTAATGCCATGGGCAGGAGAGCAAGCTTCACGATTTGTGACTGCCACTACGATCACAATGTCACTTAGCCACCCATTAGTGATGAATACCTGAAAAACCCCAAGTATCCTGTAACGCTCTACAACAACTCAGGTCCATGTGCAGGTCACGGCTAGGGGACTGTATTCAAGAAAAAACCCGACAAGACATGCTTCGTACACTCTCTGTCCTCTGTCCAAGTATTTGCAGTGTTCATATCCACACATGAGCTTATTACAGAGCAGGGGGAAATACCCAATGCTTCAAAAAGGAAGCCTATGTTTTCTTTTCACTATTCATACTGTAAACAATAATAATAACAGAGATTATGTTCTTTTCAAATTAAAACAAATGATATAAACTGTATAAAATGATAAAACTATAAAAATGATAAACTATTTTAGAAAGAAGCTGTAGATGAGAAAAAGGAATCTGCTCTAATAGCACTACACTATTAAAGTCTTTCTACTTTCAGACTTAACAGTTTTTGAAAAGGCATAGTTTTGATTTTCATGATGGGTGGCCTACTACTTTCCAAATAGCCTAAATAAGGAAGATACCGATACAGGAGGGATAAAAGAACAAATTAGAGATATTAGATTGTCACGTGATATTTATCCAGAAAACAAATATACTCGGACCAAATATTAATAATTATCTTCTCGTTCTGACTCTTTCCTGGGTTGTCTCAACCACTTCCATGGCTTTAGTTGCCATCTATACGCCAATGACTCCAAATCTTTAAGTCAAATTTCTTGCTAGGTTCCAGGCCTGTATACCGACCTGCTTCTGGCGAGTTCCACCTGATACTCATGGGCAGAACATATTTCTTCCCACCTCTACTCCTATCTAATCCTGAATATCAACCTATTTTCCCTATCTCAATGAATGGCACCAATAAATCATGTTATCATCCTGCTTCATATTCAATTTGACATCTAGTTCTCTCTAATCCATTTCAACACTTTTTCAGTCTACTCACTTCCTTTCACTTCCATTGCTGTATCTTATTTAGGGCCCTCATCATTTCTTGCTTAAGTTCCTACAAGGGATCTCTCTGTAGCTCTATTATCCACCATGATGTCAGAAAGATCTTTCTAAAATGCAATCTGATCACACCACTTTCACATTTTAAAATCTTTGACTAGCTCCTCATAGGCTTTGGGATAAATTGTAAAACTTAGCAGGGCATATAAAACTCATCACAAACTGGCACTAGCTTACTAGTCCTGCTATCTCTTGCCCAACTTTTCCCTCATTCCCTTTCCTCAGGTCAGCTTAACTGAATTACTTGCTGTCCCCCATATTCCAAGGTCTTCCCTACCTATGGGTCTTCGGAAATCTTGGGTCTTCAGAAATCTTGTTTCCTTTACTTGGGAGGCCCTTTCCCAACTCTGCTAGAATGAATCCTACTCATCCTGGACTAAGTTCAGACATCACCTCTTCCAAAGAGTCTTCCCAAATTCCCCAGGCTGGGTTAAGTGCTCCCATAGCACCTGAATTTACCATCATCTTAGTACTTATCAAACTGTATTCAAATGATCTATTTTCGTCTCTATCCCTTTGAAATAGTAGAGGTATAAAATGGTGTTGGTGGGCTGGCCCCGTGGCTTAGCGGTTAAGTGTGCGCACTCTGCTGCTGGCGGCTGGGGTTCGGATCCCGGGCACGCACCGACACACCACTTCTCCAGCCATGCTGAGGCCACGTCCCACATACAGCAACTAGAAGGAAGTGCAACTATGACATACAACTATCTACTGGGGCTTCGGGGGAAAAAATAAAATAAAAATAAAAATTAAAAAAAATAAATAAATAAAATGGTGTTGGTTACGCTCATCACCTAACATCCCTGCCCTTTATAAGAAGATTTATGCTCTAAAATCCACAGTGCTGATACTTACAAATAATGGGAAATGGGCCAATGATGTTAGTGTTGTCTATATGACAGCAAATGAAGGCAGTGGTGGTCGCATGGTTATAAGTGATGCAATAATAAAAGATCCTCAACATCTTTCTGTAGTAGGAGCTCCTTGAAGGCAGGGACCATTTCCTAGTCACACATCTATCCTCAGTGCTTAGAATAGTGTTTGACATATAGGAGGCCTCAGGGATTTTTGTTGAATAAATGAGAAAAATATATCCCTCAAAAAAATTCTATACATCATGGTAAAAATATTTTTCTACAGTGTTGCTCCATTACACCACCCCTTGCTCAAAAACCCTCCAGGTCTCCCAATTTCCTACCTTTCTAAGATAATAATGACTATTTGTGTAGCTGTCACAGTTGAATTCCAGAAATGGTGCTTTTTTGTTTGTTTTCACTCACACAGCATCCAGAAATTAGTACCTATATGCTCTAAATCCATGGTCTTGGACACATATTAACTATAGATAATAAACGATGGAATGGAAAGGAAGGGAGGAGCAGTCTATAGGACAAAACCTGTTCACTTTAACACTCTGATCTCCATTTGGTAAAGCTGAATGGAGTTCTCCCAACAGTTCTTCTTGGACATGATTACAGAAGGTTAATAGATTCTGAACCATTTCCACAATAGCCTGACCTAATGTGAGTATTTATAAGGGAATTCTCTTTCTAAGAGGACTTTCTCAATGTCTTTGTTAATTATAACAGTCAAAACTTTTATAGGGCTGAGATTATCCCTACTGAGGGCCAACATTTTTTTTTTTTAGCACTGAATACCTATAACATAATTATTGTAGCTGTTATAGCTGTTATATATACAATATATATATTGTAGCTGATTGTAGCTGTTATATAGATAGCATATTGTTATAAAGAAAAAGGAAAAAACAATATTACATGAGTCCATCATACAAATATCATTGTGAATTTCCTTTCTGGTCTTTTTTTTTTAATATAGTTGAAGTTATTCTATATTTTACATTTTATATGCATTTTTCACTTAAATGTTAATATGATCTTTTCATTTAATATAATTATTTTCCTATACCATTAAAAAGTTTATGTCAATGCTTTAAAGGGTGCATATTGGGTCATCTTATTGATGTACTACATTTACTTATTTATTCCTTTAAATTTTTCATCATTCCTAATAGAGTTTTTGAAATACAGTCAGTGGTACTTTCCTGGGTGGTTCCCATAGAAGACTGTGTGGAAATTAATAAAAGAAGTCTTAACTAAATTGGACTTGGGAAGACCTGTAGGAAGAGCTCTCATGCCCTATCACACATCATCAATTACAGCAAACAGGAAGACACAGGTGCTTGCATCTTCAAGAGGAAGTAAAACTACTTTACTATTGAAGGAAGGTTTCTCTCCCCTCCCAGCAACAGCCCAGCCAATGAGAAGCCATTGCCACCCTGAACTGCTACATTCCCCCAATGGACTTTTGTTTACAACAGCCCCTCAGTACTCCTTTTCTCTATAAAAGTAGCTCCCTTCTTTGCTGGATTTGCCTATGGTTCACCACAGCATGCACATTCTGAACTGCAATTCTTTTGGCTATTCCCAAATAAACTCATTTTGAGGATGAAATAACAGGTGAATTTGCTTTTAAGTTGACAACTGTAACTGAGCAGATCGGGCCTGCTGAGAAAGCTGGAGTCATAGAAGAATATGGTTCCCTTTCACTTTTGACCAAATTTCCTACTCTTCTGTCAAAACAAGCCCTCTGTGTGCAGAGTTAACTGATTATATATCAGTTAGCACTTGTTTATTATAATCCTTAGGGTGAATAATTTAGACAAATATTTCTTAAAGTATATTTGAAAAACACCAGTGACTCAACATAGTCTATAAAAAGAGAATTTCCTAAGGCATAAATCATACTGTATCCAATTTTATAGGTACACGAGGCATTATCAGCATATCAAAGAGGGAGAAGTTGTGCACATTTTCCAAATTTATTTGATACCAGATATCTTTTTTCTGTATAACTATGAAACTAGATTATGGAATGGTCTTTAGAACCGGGCTGCTCAAAATGTTTTCCAGACTGATGTCAGTCCACAACTGTTATTAGTCCTTGACAGCATAAGCACAGAAATTGAAAGTGTTTAGAAAACTGTATAGCAATTTGACAGTGCCACAGCATTCAAGCTTGTGATTTTGTAAGTGCAAAGGTATTAGTCTAAAACTAATTAGAAATTCTTTAAAAATTTAAAAGAAAACAGAAATTAGTCCTTTATCAGGTCTTGAAATATATTTTCAGAAAGACCACCTTAGTGTAGAAAATTATCATCTTTTCCTCACTTAACACTGAGTCAACAACAAATATTTACTGAGTGTATACCAGACACAGTTTTAGGCAAAAAAACAAAACAAAACCCTCTGCCATCAGTGATATGAGATTCTAAGAGATATATTTATTCCTAAGCCTGTCTGTAACCTTAATTGGAGGGGCTTTCCAATTGACATGACTCTCAGAAGGACTGAAGGGCTCTCAAATTCTAAGATATATTTCTCGCCTAAGATCTTTTGAAACTCTTCTTGATACGAGAAAGTCTCTTTCCCAATTTCTCATCAACGTCAAGTTTAATAACCATTAACTATTGTTTGTCCCATATTTGGACAATGTGAGCCTTACCTTACCTTTTCTGGTTTGATAAGGGCTGTGTGGAAGCTAAAACAACATTTTCCGTATCAGTGAGGGAACATGCAAAATGGAACGCGGAAGAGGAACAGATCTCACGTAACAGAAATGTTGCAAAATTCTTACTGTCTCCAAAACAACTCAGTCTCTGTGTAAACTCAAGTAAATTCAATTCCTTTGTGAATCCCTAGATCTGAGAGAATCAATAATGAATAGTCTTTGAGACACTGTTACCCACAGCATGACTGGAGGGAAGGGCTACGGAAGCCCCTCTTTACACACCTTGCTTCCATTGAGAATCCAGTCACTTCCATCCTTTTTGGCATTTGTTCTCACTCCTTGCAAATCACTGTAAATGAAAAAAAGGACAAAAAATTCATCAATTGGTAAAAATTGAATTATGCAAATATTGTTATCTAAGCACGTATGTAATGTAATAATTCAAACCAGTTACACCATTCTAAAAATTGATCTTTAACTAATATTAGGAATGTTCACACAAATACACTGAAAAATCATGTCTGATGTTTTATATTCTAAACCACATACACAAATGGATATATGATTAAGATTATACAAATTAGCCAGATTTTATAGAGCATAACAAGGCCCATATTCAAGACCCCCAAATTGGACTCAGATGACACTTCACAGCCCACTATATCCCTGAGGTCATTTGCCACCATATGCTTGCCTGCCTCTATTCACCTTGGTCCTTTCCCCTATCTCTAGGGAGCAAAAGCTCAGATTTAAAAGACTATGTCTCAAATGCTACTTCTTCTAACAAGCCTGCTCTAAAAGTAGAATAGATTATTTTTCTAAATATAAAACATATTCATAATTAAAATATGAAAAATACAGGGGCTGGCCCGGTGGCGCAAGTGGTTAAGTGCACGCACTCCGCTACTGCGGCCCGGGGTTCGCCGGTTCGGATCCCTGGCGCGCACTGAGGCAGCGCTTGTCGAAGCCATGCTGTGGCAGCGTCCCATATAAAGTGGAGGAAGATGGGCATGGATGTTAGCCCAGGGCCAGTCTTCCTCAGCAAAAAGAGGAAGATTGGCAGATGTTAGCTCAGGGCCAATCTTCCTCACAAAAAAAAAATATATATATATGAAAAATACAGAAAATATTTCAGAAAAGGAGAAAAAGGATTTAAAAAATAATTTTACCTCCTGGAATGAACATTTTAAAAAGACAGCCTTCCAGTATTTTTCAATGGAAACAGATACACATATATATATGTATTTTTTTAAAGTTGGAACCATACATATGATTTTGATCTCTTAATAATATCTGTTTTTCTATAAGATAATTTTTATTGGCAGCATAGAATTTCATCATATGGATTTATCATGATTTTTTTAAACAATCTCCTATTGTTGACCACTTAAGCAGCTTCCAATTTTCATAAATATCATATAACGATTAGCATCATGTATAAATAGGCCACATCAGGTATTACTGTGAAATTCTTCTGATTCTTCTTCTTATATATGGTCTTTATATTATATATCCGATGGCAGTTTGTTTATGGCTTTCTGTATCAGGCTGAATAATGACCCTCAAAAGAGAGCAGGTCCTAATCCCTGGAACAGGTCAGTGTGACCTGATATGGAAGAAGGGTCTTGCAGATGTAATTAATTCAAAGATCTTGAGATAGGGAGATTATCCTGGATTATCTGGATGGGTCCTAAATGCAATCACAAACGTCCTTTTGAGAGAGAGGCAGAGGGAGGAGGGAGATTACACAGACCGAAGAGCAGGAGTAGGGTGACCACAGAGGCAGAGACTGGAGTGATGAGACCACACGGCAAGGGACGCTGGCAGCCACCAGGAGATGGGAAAGGCAAGGAATGGATTTTCCCCTAGGACCTCTGGCAGGGGTGTGGCCCTTGATTTGGGCCCATTGATACTGATTTTGGACTTCTGCCTTTAGAACTGTGAAAGAATAAATTTCTGCTGTTTTAAGCCACCCAGTTTGTCACAATTTGTTACAGAAGCCACAGGAAACTAACGCACTCTCCTAGAGCATTTCCCTGAATTTCAGTTACTAATAAAAAGACCTCCTCTTTCCCACCCACCCCACTGATCAGACTCGAGCCTTTTAAGGACACAGTGTATATCAAGATCATGTTTATATGCCCCTCACCTAGCACATGCTTTGCACATAACAGCCACTCAATAAACATTAGTTAAATTACATTATTAAAAATGCGAAGTGTGCAGGGGCCGGCCCGGTGGCGCAAGCGGTTAAGTGCGTGCGCTCTGCTGCAGCGGCCTGGGGTTCGCTGGTTCGGATCCCGGGTGCACACCGAGGCACCACTTGTCAAGCCATGCTGTGGCGGCGTCCCATATAAAGTAGAGGAAGATGGGCATGGATGTTAGCCCAGGGCCAGTCTTCCTCAGCAAAA